GATCGTTAAATTGTAGAATTTACTTTTTTTATTTAATAATAATTTATTACATATTAATAAACTATTGATCTATTACATGTATATAATTACAAATAATTTTATTAGATATCGTATTAATAACTATTGATTTATTACAAATATATAATTACAAAATATATAATTACAAATAATTTATTAGATATCATGTTAATAATATTGATTCATTACAAATATATAATTACAAAATATATAATTACAAATAATTTTATTAGATATCATGTTAATAAATATTGATTCATTACAAATAATTTTATTAGATATCATATTAATAAATATTGATTTATCACAAATATATATATAATTATAATATTATTACAAATATATAATTACAAATAATTTTACCAATATTTAACTCCATTTTTAGCATTTGTAAGCATTCTGCTAATAATTTCTTCATCATTTTCATTGTTATTTTCACATTCATTTTCTAATTCATCTACCATTAATATATCTTCACCTTTTTCTAACCTTTTTAGATAAGAATTAACATTATCAAATATACCCTTTTTATAAAACTCTGTACAATGCCCACAACTTTTTTCTAATGTTTCAAAGCAGTCATAATAGTAACTATGACCACAGACTAATACATCCCCATTATGCTCAGGAAGATTTGGATCAAATTTATTGTTACAATGGTTGCATTCACCTGCTTTTGAAACATGTGCTGTATGATATCCAGAGGGAAGTAATTTTATATTTACTGTTTTATTTAGTGCACAGAGTTTATTTTGTTAATTTATATTTATTATTGAAGATTGGTTGACTGCTATTTAAATTTTCATAAAATATTCTATTAAGAAGCAACTTTTTTTTTTCTTTAAATAGCTTAAGGTTGACATGGTATAAGGATATCTTTTAGTATTTGAAAAGGCATTTGCAAATGATTCATTTTTATGAGAATCTATTATGAATGTTTCCTGTATAATGAGAATGGCAAAGTTGATCATTAAGCTTTAAATAATTAAAATTCGCATAATCTGGATGTTCTTGCAACTTTTTCAATTCAGTATCAGTAATTGTTCTAAATCTATCAGTATCAATAATACTCCGATAATCAATTATTGCACAAGGACCTTTATTTTGAGCATTTTTAGGCATTGTTATTATTTAGAATTTTTATTAGATTAAATTTATTTTATAATTTAAATTTTTGAAATTTTACAGAATTTCTTTCTCTTTTATAGAATTTTTTTATTAAATGTCAAATTTTTAGCAATAATTTTAGTATTCACCCAAGGTCAACCCTGAATCCACAAAAATTTCAAATTGTGCAATGGTCTTCAAGCCAATAAAAATTAATTTTTATGTGATATCTTGAAGGGGATCATCACAAATTTAGCATAGTGGACTTTTGATTCGTGTAACGTGACTATTGAAATTTTTTTGCCGATCACAATTCATAATAGATACAAACGTAAAATTATAACAGTAAAATAACACCAGTAAAATTTTTATTTTGGCATCAACATGCCTCATATCCTTCTAATAAAGATCAATCTTTATTAATAATCATAAATTCAAGTCCATATTAATATATATTTTTTTTTAGATGTTCAGATAAACAAAATTTAATGAATCTTATCTTTATTTACAAGTATATGAGTTAAAAACTAAAAGAGGAACTATTAAATTAGAAAAAATGAAATAGATGACTTGACCAACTTTCTATTGAAACCATAGTATAAAAAAACCTACATCAATATATCATACTAGTCGTGTGACATGTCCTAAAAATCAAGGGGCAAGTTTATTTTCCGA